ACTAATTCATTATTGTTTCATATTTTTGTTTTAATTTTTTAATCAAATATTTATATAATTTTATATTATTTTTATTTATAATATTCGCAATATATATACGTATTTACAAAATTTTATTGAAAAAATCTGGGACACTTTGTATATTGTACTTAAGCAATATAATTTTTCTGTAAAAATATGATGAATATATCTCGTATGATCCTTTTTTAAAATACTTTCAGTTTTTATTTTATATATTTGTTATATATTTATTATATTTTATTAATATTAATAATTTTCTAATTAAACTTAAATTTAAATATTAGTTATTTAATTATAAGTTTTAAAAAATTATAAGCAATGAATCGGTATATATCGATATTGATATATCGATTTTAATATATAAGGTGTCTCAGAAATTAACCGATAAAGTTTAATCAATGATTCTTGAGATGATTTTACGTAATTTTTTTCTTTATGAAAATTTTTATTTCGGCTTTGTTAATAAATTATACGAAAAACAATTGTCGATCGTAGAAAGCATAGAGTAGCATTATCGTGCTGCAATAGTAGCATTAACTGTATACCATCGACGAGTCATCGGGTTAGAAAGAACGAGTTAGCTAATTAATTTATTCATTTTTTGTTTTTGTTCGACGATTATTTGGCACGCTTGCTTCGATTTTAAATTATTATTATATATTTTCTTATTTAGGTATAAAAACATAATTTAAATTGATATTTACTAGAATTTCTTATATTTACAGCGAATAAAACATTTACATAAAATAAGGTTTTATTTCAAAACTTTTTTATTTGACATATATTAATATATAATTCGATACCCTAATTCAAAACTTATCTATAATAGAAATAAATTTTTTTTCTAAAGATTGTATTCCTTTTTACATTAATAGTAAAAATGTGAATAATTGCTAAAAACGTATCTTGTCTATTTTTGTCGATGCACGGAAAACTTGTGCCGTGTTTGGTTCGTAAAAAATATAATTTTTGTTGTTAACGAACTATAGATTTAGCACGATGAATGATATTTTATTTCGTATACTTGTTTCGAATAAAGAAAATTCGAATTAAGAATATCGACGTATCTTAATTCTTATTTATTATACAGAAAAAGATAAATGGACATTGTCATCGTACTTTTTAAATAATTAAACTTTTCTAATAATTAAATTTGAAAAATGAACGATTTCTTATTTTTCGATCGAATATTTCTCTTCGAACAAATAATAATTCGTTAATTATATTTATATAAATGATAATTTTTGATTATTACGTATATGTAACATGCGCACACGCATCGAGTGATATAGATGTATAAATTTATATATCGTTAGACCTGATTAAAGTACCCATAAACTTATATTGTTACGTAAAAGTAATACACTGGACATTGTTTTTATGATAAAAGTACGCTATGATGTTTAGTTTTTCTAAACTGAAATATATTGTTTTATTATTAGGATATTCCTTAAGAATATTTTGAATGTTTTAATTTAACTTGTCTGATTGGTTTCAGAATTTTGTTGTCTTCTATATAATGCAACATTATTTTCTGTATAATCCATTATACGACGTTGACATTGTCTTACGTATTGTTGTTGTTTATGATAAATCTTGAATGCACCTTTTATTACTATAAATGCTATACCTCCCTGTAAAAATGAATTAATTTTCTAATCTAAAATTTAATATAATTATTTAATTGATATAATAGATATATTTAGTACATACGAATAATGTTCTCTGAAAGTTAGAATGTATACTTTCAAAAAATATTTTTCCACATATGCTAGCGATACTAGGTAATAGAAGTGCACCACAAAGAATACGAGTTGCTGATATTGGATCGCTCATAGGTGGTACATCTTCGGATTGTGCTCTATCGTCGCTGGAATAACTAAAATAATATCGTTATATAAAACGTATAATTTATTTCAAATTTCCATATAAATTTTTTTACGTACCTACTGGGCAAGAAATGCCTCAAAATAGGAACCTTACATGCGTGTCTTCTTAAGAGACTAAGTGCAAGATCTTCCCATCTTAGCATTTTTCCCAAAATTAATATTATTGGAATAGTTGGCAGACCAACTAGTAATACCAAAGGATCAGCTTGTTCCATCATAGCTAAACCATCTTTATGACCGACTACTTGCATTACAGTTACAGCACCATATGTTACAGCTGTCCAGTATATAGATGCGGCAAGTATACTAGCTGCGATAAATGGACAAATCCGGAAAATTACTCCATCGATAGTATCCAATACGACTACTAACGGTCCTGTAATAATATATATATGGAATAAAAAATTTAAGTTGTAAAAAAAATATTTTTATAGAAGATTAATTATAAAGAAATATATTATGATTTAAAGTTTTATTATAATTGAATGCATGAAAATCGTATGATGATATATATTTTTAATTAAGCACTAATTGAAATAAGTATACTTTCAAAAAATATCTTGATATGAAAAAACTATTTATTAAAAAGTCTAATTTAGAAGATATTTTAATTTGAATTTTGCAAAATATATATGAAAAATTTAAAACATAAACAAGTAAATATTATTTCATATGTTTTTTATATTTCATATAATAAACTTTATAAATTTTAAATTATTTTTAAATAATTTGAAAACTAATAAAACTAAACTAATGATTTTTTGATAGCTTAAAGCATCTTTATAGAAAATAAGAGCTGCTTTATAGAGCTGCAGAAAAATTATTATCATACAAGTTTTCTTTATATCAATCAATTGTAAGAACATTTTTTTATAATTTTCAATTCAATTTTTTCCAATGTTCTTTCTTATGGATAGTATATCTATCTGATAATATATAATAATATAAAATAAATATATACATATGTATATTTATAATGAAATAATATAATATGTATTTTTTTATATATAATTATATATAAAAAAATCAAACGATATTTAAATATATATAAATAATTACTAACCCATATTTGGATATACGATAATATATTCGGTATTACACTGTGGACATGCTACATGTGCACCTGCACGTCCTTTTTGTTTTTCATCGACCCATCTTTGAATACATCCTTGATGGACCCATTTTGTTGTACCACGACAATGACATGGTTTTACCCATGAAGCAGTTGCATCATCTTCATCCGTTGCAAAACATACCCAACAATATCTTTTACTATATAATAAAAGAATATTTTATTAAAAATTATATGTTGAAATGTTATCTGTTATATAAAAATATAATTTATATTAATATACATACTCATCTTCTGTATTTATTACTGGTGCATTAACATCTGGTTGATTTAGAGAAGATGCCCCATCGATTGCATCATTTGGTTGTGCTTTGTTTATAGATTCTGATAATACGATAGGTAATGGTTCCTCATCTGATACAATTGCTGGAGGTTGAACATCAGATATGTCTTTAATCAAGAATATTAATCAATAACTTTTAACAAATAATACTATTATATTAATATTAATATATAAATCTTAATTATATTAATATAATATATAGATAATTTTTACTAGTATTATTTAATTATATACAAATTATAAATATTAACTTATCAGTTTTTGTTATATATATTTATAAATATATATTGTTATATATATTTTTATTTATATATATTGTAATATTTAAGAAAATATTTAAGGAAATTATATACATACATTTAATAAAAAAGCAATTATTATTATATATATATAATTAATCAATTTCTTAATTTATTACCACCGCTATTTGATTCGTTAATTTGTCTTTCTGATCTTAGATTTGTGCTAAGTCTTCTCAATGTTTCTTCTATACTTGGAAGACGACCGATAGCAGGCCTTGTGATACTAGATTCTATGCGTACTATTCTACCAGGTGAATCAAGTCCGTATGAAATATGTGGTAAATTGTTATCTGACATTTTGTCTCAATAAAATAAGATTTTCAATATTGCATCGCTATGTTATATCTGAAAAAACAAATGTCAATGTTTATAAAAAAAATAATACGTTTCAATTTATTTGATAACTTAAATATATATTAATATATGATAATATTTATATATATATATGTTTATATATATAAATGTATATATATATATAGATTAATTATTAATAATTAATAATTACATCACTGGTACAACTTGCAATAAATTTTAAAAAATATTGCATAATATCATGGTATATATATGTATATATATATATATACATATATATATATATACTATATTTTATCATACATTAAAATTGTTTTTGATTTAATTACCTTTTTAGACATTTTTTTATATAATATATTATTCGTTCCTATTTCTATAGTAAAATGATAATAAATTTCAAAAATGTATCGAAAAAGTATATCTAAATATTTTTTTTTACTATGTTGAATAGCATTGATATCTGATTAAAATACAATGTTAACGTATTGCAAGACCATTTTGTTAACTACTGACACGTCGTAATGAAGTTGATCGTCCACTGGTTAATATACATCGTTATAAACTAGAAAATATATTGTAACAAATTTTATTGAAGAAATGTTTTTAAGTAAACACAGGTTGTACAAGTGGAAATTGACATGTAAAATTACATATAATATCGTATGATAATAATATAAATACGTTTGAAATCAAAAGTAATAATCTACCTGAAGCAACATTCATAAACAATTCAATGTTACATATTTACAACGAAGCGATAAGATTATAAACATTTTCTCAAAGTACGATAAAATAAACGTAACATAATGAAAGTAATTTAATTACATAGCAATTTTTCTTAATATTTTGCGATTTTACTACAAAAATGTATACTAGTCGAAATTCACTTTGCAAACGGTTTTATTTCGTTTTTCACTTTTATTGGCACTGAATAAAAGTTACATGAAATCGCTGCTTATAGTAATGGTGAAAATTAATGTGAAAATTCGCCAATAAAATAAGTTGTCAAATTTCGTATCGATATTAAATATTTTTTCATAATTTTCCAATTTATTTATTGACATTTTGATTAAAATAAATATTTGCAATTAATATTTCATATTTTAAATAAATATTTATTAATTTTTTTTTTAAATTTGTGATTTATATTACTTGATTTTTATTTCCAATTTTTCAGCGCCATCTTCAAATATTTATAAATATTATCATTATAAATTTATTATATAATTTAAATATTCCATGACAAATTATTTATATTATAAAAATTGTTTTAATTTATCGGTATTTAATTATAATATTTTGATTATTTTTTGTATGTAATATAATTATAATTATTTTCGTTAAAATACAATTTTAAAAATTAAGAATAAATAATAATTTTACTTATCTTACAATTATGAATTAACTATTTAATCGCTATTTAAAAAATAAAATTAATTAAAATAATTTTTATTAAAATAATTAAAATTCATTAATAATAAATTATACGAAGTGAATTGTACACTGAAATTATTATATGTTTCTTGAGATCTTTTTGAGAGAAAATTTCAGTGAAAATTATAAATTGTATATATTCAAAGATATAAAAATTTAAAAATTTTTATTTTATAAATAATAAATATTTAAATGTACAGTGATAAAACAATGAAATATTTATTCTATTTGATTATATGAATTAAAAATTATGTAAAATGAAGTTAGCTACTAATAATTTGCGATTATCTGATGTATTATCGCAAATTATACATATTGTTAGCTCAATGTTGTATTTGTGATTGTTTATATCGAATATTTAAAAAAATAAAAATAATTTTTAAATTTTAAATATGCAATAAAATTTATACAATATCATTGAAAGAATAATTAAAATTATTTATTTTATAAAAGCTTTATGAAATAGTAAATGAAAGTGAACTATTTAAATGAAATGTAAACAACCCATATTGAAATATTTATGAGGCAATTAACAATCAAAGATAGTCATTTTAGAATATAAATGAACGGAATAAAAAATATGAAAGATTGTAGAGTAAAGTTTTGTTATCGATATTGAATATGTGGGTGTTTGATAAAGAAACATTAGATTTTTCATAATTATAATATATTTACCATTATTTTCGCTTTTTCATAATTTAAACATGTTTTCCATAATATCTAATTTCCGAAAAATTTTAGAAGATATTATAGGTAAATATATGATTTTAAATTGATATAGTATAATTTTATTTATTTAGGAAAAGAACGTTAATAAAAGAAAAAATATATAATATTATAAGCATATTTAGATAATGGAATAATTTTTTTTTCTTAATAATATATAATAATGTTTTTTTATTTTAAAAATAATTTTATAAATTTTATTATAATTTTTATATTTGTTATATTTATTTATTTTTTTAATTTTTATTATTTATTTATTAATTTTTATTTATTTTTTTCTCTATTTTATGAAAATTATATAGTATATGATATTAAACAATAATAATGATTATATTATAAATAATTTATATATTTTTTTAGTTGAATATATTGATGTTGATTTTACACTTTGGTTATCATGGCTTCTAATGCCACTTTTGATAACGTTTTTACTTCCTCTTGTAATTGTGGTATTATTATATTTAACTGCATTAATATTATATGTATACAAGTTACATAGGTAAGTCGTAATTATATGAGTATACATTAGAAATAAATATTATAACGAATAGTTTATTTTATTTTAATAGAGTTAGATTAAGAAATGCATATGAAACAGATTGGAGAAATGCAGCTCGTAATGTAGTAGCTGCAGTTTGGGATGCTCATGGTTGGATTTGGTACGGTATGTTGCATATTAAATTATTTAAATATATATTCATTTTCATAAAATATAATTAATTTTAGCATCTATATTTTTATATATATTTTGTAGGATATGAAGTAATTGGAATTGAAAATATACCACAAAATGAACCAGTACTTTTTGTGTATTATCATGGAGCTATTCCTATAGATATTTATTATTTTATATCTAAAATATTACTTTTAAATTCAAGATTAATTCATACAGTAGCGGATAGATTTCTTTTTAAATGTCCTGGATGGTCTATTATTTCTGATGTATTAAAAGTTATACCTGGTACAGTTCAAACCTGCTCTGCTATTTTAAAAGAAGGTAATATGCTTGCCATTTCACCTGGTGGTGTATATGAAGCTCAATTTGGAGATTCTTATTATCAATTAATGTGGAAAAAACGAGTAGGTTTTGCAAAAGTTGCATTGGATGCTAAAGTGGTAAGTTATTTTATTATATATATTTATATGTATATATATATATATAGAATTAATATATTTATAGAAAAGTTTGGAAGATTGATTTTAGAAACCAAAGAGAAAAGTTGATATACGAAAATATCAATTGAGATTTACTTATTAAATTATAAACAATATAATTTTGCATTAGATAAAATTGGACGGAAATGACGACGGCGTAACAGAGATAAAATAGCCTCGTTCTATTTCCATCTTGTTTTTGTCAAATTTTAATTACTTATAATTTAATAAATAAACGACATTTTCTTATATTTATTTTGACTTCTAAAATTAGTTCTCCAAAAATATCCCATGAATGTATTAATATCTTGTATGATATATATATATGATACATGCATATACATATATATGATTATATTATGATATAGTCATAATCATATATATAATCATAATTTATATATATTACTGTTATAAAATACTAATATTTTTGTATTAACAGTGCATAATACCTTTATTTACAAAAAATGTTAGAGAAGCATTTAGAACGATCAGTTGGGGCAGAAGAATGTGGTTAAGAATATATGCTGCTACTAGATTTCCTTTTGTACCTATCTATGGTGGTTTTCCTGTAAAATTGACCACATATGTTGGTAAACCAATTTCATATGATGAAAATCTTACACCGGAAGAGTTACAAATAAAGGTAATAAACACAACTACTAAAATTTTATAATTTTATTTTATTCTAAATAAAATAAGCAATAATAATATATGGGACGAAATAAATATTATTTCTGTTTTAGGTTGCTGATGCACTCAATAATTTAATAAGTCAACATCAAAGAATACCTGGAAATATATCATTAGCTTTATTAGAAAGAATATATACTCCAAAGAAAGAAGAATCATAATTAGCATTTACTTGAGTATTATAATATTGTATCTTATACTCTGAAGTAGAAAAGTATTTAAAAAATACTAATTGAATTCCTTAGAATTTATATCTATAATTTATGGTGCTTACCATTTAACATTAACTGATAATTAAGATTCTATTAAATTTAAAATTTATATAAGATATATAAAAAGAGTTAATTTTGCGGCAACGAAACTGTACTTATTTTTCAAGCGTATCAATTTATCTATTTTTTAATTTTTATATAAATAATATATTATTATAATATATTTTATTTTAATTTATTTTTAAGGAAGTATATAATGAACAAATTTATTTAGATTTGGATATATTTTTTTAATATATTGATTTTTTTTAATATCTATATATATTTTATAAATTTTATATATTATATATATTAAAACATATATCTATATTAATATAATATAATATTAAATTTGTAATTTTATATGCATAATTGAAAAAATAGTCTTTTATTTAAATATATTATAAATGTATTTTTATTGTAGAGTTCTTAATGTAAATGATTTGTAAATATATTTTTTGTTATATAAATTTGTAATATAATTATCTCAATAATTTTATATGATAAATTAGATATTATTAGATTAAGATATTGTAATATAATATCTAATTATTCACTTATTAATTTATATATAAATAAAATAGAAATAAAAAATAGAATTAAGAACTTGTGTTTTTTTGTGTTAATATTATTAATTATTATAATGCAATGCTTGTAATAATTGATCGTGCTTTTTTTAAATATTATATAATATATTAAAAACGATTAACAAATAAATAACTATTATTTATTTAAATTTTATAAATGCATATCGGATAAAATAAATATGAGTATTCGTGTAATATGAAATAATATTTATTTTAAATTTAGCGGAATCGGAAATGTTCGCATCGATTATATTAACCGGAAGATCTAACGTGCAGCGAACCTAACGACGGCTTTTATAGTTAAAATTTCTTTCCCGAGGGTATCTTAGGATACCTTGTTATATTCATCGAACGGCTTTGAATAGTATCATTTTTTACAGCTATAAGAATCACATTTATGCGAATTCTAATTAACGGTAAAAAGTGATTGACTTTGTATAGCAAAAATTACTTATTTCTTTATTAGGATTTCGATTTTTGTGACGTAAAATATATAGTCATGGGCGTGGATGTGGAAGTTCTTTCTCCTGGAGACGGTAATTATTCTGTTCACGATTATTCTATGATTCTTCGCTTTTATTTTTTAATTGTTGTTTCTTTCTATTCAAATCATATTTTGATAATTATTTTTCTGTTCAATTTCAAATAAATGTTCTTAATTGTATTATTATTAAAATATGCCGGAAAATTTAGTGAGATTTATTTACAACCTGAAAATTTATTTGCAAATCTAAAAGCATAGACTTTTTGAATTATTCCGTTTCAAATAAAATGATTTCGATTTTTATTTAATATGATTAAAAAATATAAAATGTTTTAGTACTTTATATTTTTCATTTTTAATGCAAATTTCTTCGAATGATATTTTATCTATATAGGCCAGACATATCCGAAAACTGGACAGACTGTAGTTGTTCATTATACAGGTAAATATTTTCAAAATATTTCGTATATATCATATATATTAAATTATATATATATATATTAATAGTAATTTTAAAAACAAACAATCAGATTTATATTGTTTTTCAAACTTATGTACATATTAAAATATATTTACATTATAATATCTTTATTAAGTAAAGTAGTTTTATTAATAGAATATTTTAAATTCTAACTGAAATTTTAACTGTTAAATATTTGATAGGTACTCTTGACAATGGAAAAAAATTTGATTCAAGCAGGGACCGTGGGGTACCATTTAAATTTAAAATAGGTAAAGGAGAAGTTATTAAAGGTTGGGACCAAGGAGTTGCTAAAATGTGTGTTGGAGAACGTGCTAGGTTAACTTGTTCACCAGATTTTGCCTATGGTAGTCGAGGACATCCTGGAGTATATCCTTTAATACAACGATAAATATTTCTAATATTATTATACGCATAATTTCAGAATTAAATTTAGAGAAAAAACATAATAAAATAAATTTTATACTTTGTGAAATTTATTAATTTATTAAATTAACTATTATAATAATGCTTTTTATTGCCATTATTATTGCTCTTAAATGAATTTTTTAATAATATAATATTTAATTGTATTATTAATTATATAAAAAAAATTTATTGTAGTATTATCCTTGACATAGATACACTATTCCTCCAAATGCTGTTCTCATCTTTGATGTGGAATTATTGAAGGTGGAGCCTTGAAGTGTTTTTCAAGTGTATCAAATTGACCGCACACGTCAGAATCACAGATAATTAAATGCTTCGAATTATATTATGTTAAATAATCATTGCACGAGAGTGTATGTCTCGTATATTAATTTAATTGCTCGTAAAAACGAAAAAAAAAAAATATTAAGATTTCAATTCATTTCATTATTGCATAGTTATATAAATTATAAATTAAAATTAAAAATCTCAGAAATCATCAATGACCAATTATATGATATGAGATATTAAAATATTTTTTTCATATTTTTATGTTATAATTGAATTTATACTATTCATTTTGAGACTACTTGCATTCCTATATTATGAGTAATTGAATTAAAATAAATTTTGAAGCATTCAAATTATAATTCGAATAATCTGTGTTCATTCCAATTACTTAGTACTTGATAAACAATCACCTGGATATTTTGTACAAAATCTTTCAATGATGCAAAAAGAAATACTGTAATAATGGTAATGTAATAGTATGAACATTTACAGAAATATTCAATAAAAAAAGAACTATCTTGTCTTCAAGTATATGAATATATTTATTAACCCATAATTACATTTATCTACTATTTGAATTTTTTAAATTTATATATATATACAATTTTGAATAAATTTGATTTGTTTTGAATATTTTGTTAAAGTTTTTTTAATTATATACAATATTATATTATACTTAAAATTATATTATATTATATTAAGCAATTATTAAAGCAAATCTTGTTAATAAAATAACATTGAAATATATTGTGTAATTTATAAATATGTAATATTTATATATATCAATTTGATATTGATATATAAACACATCAAATTATATGAATTTTCAAAAGATATTATTTTGTAAATTGCACATTACGTTTACTTATTATAAATAATAAAATAATTTTGAATTGTTTTTTTAATATTTTTGCGTAATAAATTTATTAAAATTGAAATAATAATTTAAATTAGAAATAAATATTAATAATAAATATTAACAATTTATAAATATTAAAAAAAATACATATATATACATATAAATAATTAATTTTAAGTATCATTGCACTTATTAAATGTATCGAATAAACTATATTGTTTAAAAATGTAAAAATATTGTTTTTTACATTTTTTAATAAAAATGTATAAATGAATTAAATCGATTATAATTGACATAATTATATATTATTATATATATTATAATTATATAAAGTCTAACTTAATAAAAATATCATAATAAAGAAAGATTATTTTAATAAACAAACAATTCTGGGAAATGTATTTCATAAGCTGGAGCTTGATTTGGTTTAGTATCTATTGGTGGTCCTGGTTGACTTGAATTTCGTGGATCAACGGATAATGTGTTAAATATTTCTGATAGTTTACTTTGTAAAACATCATGCTATAAAATTATTTATTTTTAGATTATTTTTATAATAAAATAAAGTAATAAGATAATAATAATTATTATTATACCTTTGGTTGTGTTTTTGATACCAAATCTTGAAATGGTGCGTTTCTAAAAAAATGCGATAACTGTAATCGTTTTTCTTCTTCCATTACATGATTGTTGTTATTTTCAGTTAGAATTCGTTTCATACTTTCAAAAGTCAACTCTTCTTCTGGTAATTTCTAAAAAAAAAAACATTATTTTATAAAAAATAAATCATTAGAAAAATACAAATAAATTAAAAATATATGCAAAAATATACTTTTTGAACACCAGGAGACGAACCACCACTATCTAATTCTGCAGTACCAGAATTAATATCGCCTAATGAATTTCTTCCGCTATCGACCCACGAATGACTAAAAAGAGAAAAATAAAATTTTGATAATTTTTAATATTATAATTAATAAGATAAGAAAATAAAAATTTAAATTGGAATAATTAATATTACCGATGTTGTAATGAAATACTATTATAACCAGATCCTTGTTGCAATTTTCCGCTGTCAAGTCCAGCTCCTTTTAAACATTCGCTTAAAACGGTTTGATCGACTAATAGAATGGGTGGTAATCTAGAAGATAAGCCAGTATCATACTGAGATTGTAAATCAGGTAAAAGATGAGATGCTTCCTTTCGCCGTATTTCTACAATCTTAAAAATAAAAAAAAATAAAATTTAAAAAAATCAAAACTATGTGTAGAATAAAATAAGTTGTAACTTACTTTATTTGCGTAATCCATGAGTGAAGTAATATTACAAACATAAGATATTAGTACAAGCAAACTTATGACAATAGAGTGCAAATTAAATTTTAACGAAATACTGATTTGGCCACTTGTTAAAGATAAATCCTGAAGACTCAGTACTAATCTTAGCAATTCTAATACTGTTTCTTCTGAAGCCAATTCTACAGCAAGTAATGCCAATGTTGTATATATAGATTCCACGTTTTCAACTTTATTACTTGCCAATTCTAATGATTCGTATAATGCTAAATAGATTTCAGGACCATGTTTACGAATAAAGATCACATCTGGTCTGGATGCTTTTTCAATGGTAAGATCAAGTTGTGCAACATTTACTCTATTAAATGTAAAATTGTGTTTAAAATGATTCAATTCATTTGATCATAATAATTAAAAATATTTGTTATTTACAAATTATACACAAATTAAAACTTACGTGGGTTTTGCGAGTTTTGTAATATTTTGATGCCTATCAATTAAAGTATGAAAGATTTTTTGTACTAAAAGTCGCATTTCAGCATCTGCTGCCAATGACATTCTTAATAATGGCTCCAAAAAACTTGGTGGAAATGTTGTATTTAAATGTATAGTTTGATATTTTGTGCCAACCTAAAATATATTTATAAATAAATATATAATGTATATATGTGCACATACACACACATGCGCGCGCACGTGCCCATGTATTTTTTTTGTGTTATACATAATTACTTTTAAAAGAGATTTTAGAAGAATACTTTGAAGTAATACATCTCCTTTACCAACTGAAACTATACGATCTGGTTGACTATATGGAACTTTACTCATTATAAACATCATAATTTCTATTTTCTGGTAATCTGGAAGATGATTTGCAAATTCTCCAAGAGCATTAATAAGTGCCTCTTGATATAATTGTTCATCATTACTTGAAGATTGATTTCTTGTTACGCTAACTCTAAGATGAGATAGTAGAGAATTTATTATTTCCAAAACAGAGGGACCTTTAAAAAATATTATTGTTACTAATTTTATAATATAAATATATATTTTATTTTCTATTATTTTATTTTACTA